CACGGGGAGGGGATTGCAGACCACGGGCTGGACTGGTGGTTTTTGAAGTCACACAGTTAAAGTTCTCTTGGTTGTTGGATTACCTTTCAGGGCCCTGGAATGGCAAGAAAATTCTCGGCACCAGGTCAGCTCTGTATCTCTATGACATCTTCCCTGGGTGCTACACCCATCCCTGCAGCATCAGCTACCTCTTTAGGTCCCTTCAGCAAGGCCATGTGCCCCCCGCAGCAGTACGGTTACCCAGCCGCGTCCTTCCCCCCGCCCTGGAGCGGGGCAGGGGGGCCGGCACCACCACAGCTCGGCCAGTTCCAGCCCGTGGGGGCCACCTCTTTGCAAAGCTTCAACATCAGCAATTTGCAAAAGTCTGTCAGCAACCCTCCAGGCTCCAACCTGCGGACCACTTAGCCGTGCCCAGAGACCCTGCTGGCTACACCTCGGGACAGGACGTGGGGAGGGAGATGGGGCCCTGTATCACTACTAGTGCTGCAATGAACTGGTAGCTTGCCAGACTGGGAATGAATTTCTCTTTTGCAACCATTGCTGTCAACTCTCTGTAGCGGGAGTTTCCCCACACACGTGGAAGGGGGAGGAGGATGATCAGCATCCTTGTGATGGGACAGTGCTTTCCACCGAGGGGGGCGGCTCTCGTGTGGAGCGAGAGCTGTGAGCAGAAGGCAGGGGGTCAGTTCATACAGTCTTGCTGTTAAATATTTCTGGTTGGAGGCTGAATCCACACGTGTGGAGGTGGGAGAGCTGAACCCTAGCATGAGGCTTTAGCATGCTTCTCGCCTCTTCCTGAAGAACCAAGATCCAGAAAAAGCTGTCCAAATTCCCCTCCTCTCCCTGTCCCCAGTCAATAGTATCTGGCTCTGAAATGATGGGGCACACGAATGGACTTGTGGTGCAGCCCGTGCTTGATAGGTCATTACTGCTTTAAGTAAGATATTAACAGCTTTGACTGCAGCATTAGAGCAATTTAAATTGTTAAAAAAATTTTTAAAGTTCCCTGCGGACATGTACTTACCATCAGTTTTGATGTGGAAACACTGTGATTATATAAATGTTGTTGGACAACAGTAGTTTAAAAATGAGTGGAATATAGAGGGTTAAAAAAGTTAAAAAGAAAAAATGGGAAAAAAAGCTAGCTATATCCTTATACTTATTGGAGACACTTTAACTTTTTCCTTTGTATTTTCATTGTATTAGATAAATAAATGTGAATGTAAAATTGTATAAATTAATGTACTTGAATACTTGTCTGTTCTCCCAGTATGCTTGCTGGATATTTTAGTGCCTTGGACTTCTCTTGCTTCTGCAGTTTAGCGTCGTCTTCCCAGCAGAGCCCAGGGCAGAGGGCAGGTGAGGGCAGGATGTTGGTGCCCAGCGCCCGGGACGTTGGAGCAGGAGGTGGAGGGGAGGTCACCGAGGCTGCGGGGCGAGTTCTGCGAGTGGGAAACTGATCCAGGCGGGCAGAGCTGAACGTGTGGGGTGACAGGGGCCAGGTGGGCTGGGACGGAGGGGTGCAGGTGAAGCTACAACGAGACCTAACCAATATTGGCTCTGGAGGCAGGAGGGCTGGGTCAGAAACGGAGAGAGGACGGGGAGAACGTGTGTCTTTGGGAAAGGCCCAACTGAAGATGCAGTTTGACTCCAGCTGTGAAGTGGTAAAGATGTTTGGTCAGGATGTGACTTGAGGGAGAGGTGCCATTGCTTGTTGGCTTGGGCTTGTCTGCTGGGATTGCTTTTCTTACCTTTTATTTTTGGTAAAATTCATTTAAGCCAGGAACAGACTGTCCTGGTGCAACGTCCATTGCCGGCAATGGATGTACTTGAAGCAGCCGGCATCAAGAAGTTTCCTCTGTCTTACTTGGAGGATTTACAATTTTGTTCACTCTTAACAAATTTCAAGCTGGTACCAGGACTGTCACTGTCTGTCACTTGTCACCTCTTAGTACCTGTACTGTATCTTCTGCTTTGGTCATTCTCCCTTTTTCTGTTTAAGAAATACTGGTTTCCTTTTCCAAGTCAGAATAATACCAGCCAGTATTTATGTAGTGCTGCAGGAAGCTGTGATGGATGAGGGTGTAGCTTGGGAGGAGGTCATGGTGTCCTGGAGGCTGGTGCACCACAGGGGTGTTACTTGTCCACGTTTGTTTTCATCCCTGAGCGCTGTTCCCTGCTGCTCCTTAGTGTAGGGAGTTTTGTGTCTGCAGACGTGGTCATGCTTTCGTTTTCCCAAAGAAACAGGCGAGATGCTTTCCGTTCCTGTGCCTCGCTCGGCAGCAGCTCTGGCTGCAGAGGAGCACAGAGCTGCTGTGGGACAGGGGAGCTCCAGGGGGAGCAGCGGGCCCAGGGCTCAGGCCAGGAGGGAACCTCTGGAAGGATGGATGTGGATGCAGGGGGAGGCTCTTGAGCACACCCAGGGAAACAGGACCAGGACAGAGCTGAGGCAGTAATGAGGAAAGGGCAATACTCGTGGCAGAGGAACTGGTCAGCTGGATGCAGCACATGGTTATTTAAATTTGATCTAATAAGTTTGAGGTCGTTTTTTCACTTAATGTTATGCAAGAACTGGTTTTATTTACCATTGATTTTTTTTTTTCCCCTCCCTCTCCTCCTGTGGATGAATAACTGAAGTCTAGAGGAATAAACTAATGCTACTGAACTGTTAAATTATTTTGTTTAATATTACACTTTGAGTATCTTTTTCCACATAAAATCTGTTTCTGAATTACAAGCGTTTTCTTTACATTATTTAACAATGTACACTGTAAAAAAATAAAAATAAAAAAAATAAAATTAATTGAAACTTTGGGCTTCCCTGGCCGTAGTTAGTTGTGTTTTGCACTGAACCCTTCTCATATGACTGTGCCCCGTGCTGCAGTTTGTTACCTTTGTAGAATATGGAATGAAGCCATTCAAATAAACCCAACCTGCTTTGGTTGAGCTGTGGGTTTTCTTGTGGAACATCAGGTTCCAGCCCCTCTGTCCTGGTCCTGCAGTGATGTAACTGTTACCCACTTTACCAGTTTGTTACAGGAAATACAAGAAACCAAATTTAATGAGAACTGCTCGAAGGCAGTGACCAGTCACGAGCCTTTGGCCTTTAACAGGATACTCCAAAACAAGGTACTGCAAAGAGTAATTCCAAATGGATCTTGAGAAGGGCAGTGGCCTGAGGGAGGAGAACGGATCAGCTGTCACTGCTTTTGTGGCCGAGACTGTCACCAGGCTGCCAAATGCACACAGCTGTGGCAGCAGAGGTTGAGGGAGGGTGTGTCAGGGCAGGTCCTGTGCTTGCTTTTGGCACTGAGGGATGAGCAGGGTGTCCTGAGAGCCCTTCCTGACCCTTCTGTGCCCCCCTGCCTGCTCCTTGGGGCTGGATGGATTATTACAATAAGATCACCGTACACTATAATGTGATGGTTGGCTCTCACAATTAAGAGATGGATGTTATGTGTGTGTTAAGATGTAAAAAGTGGTGTTATTGTAATATGTCCTCCCATAGTCCTCTTTCCCCTCTCCCTTGTAACAGGCTCGGTAGTGGGGCATTTGGGGAGGGTAAGATGATTACCAGGAGGCACAACATGACAACAGCTGACCTCCAGTTGGGATGTGAGAGAGTGATCTCCACCCATGGATGGCAGAGAAGGAGCTGACTGACAAAGCTTTGGGATGGGCTAAGGGTATAAAAGGCACAGCAGCCATTTTGCAGGAGAGCACGTGGCCGCTGGTCACTGAGACTCCCAGTGCTGTCATTTTTCCTTATTCAGTCCTTTGCTGTATTTTTGTTGAGTTTCAATAAACTTTTGAAATTTTAAAAGTGAGCGTCGTTTCTCACAAGAAGAAATTTGGTATTTCTAAACACTAATTGCTGCTGCATTTCTTTCCATTTTAAGAACAGCTGCTGTTATGAGTCATGCTGCGCAAGCCTCGAAGGGCAAAAAAAGCTCCCAGTAGAAGTTTTCCTGCCCTTTTCAAAGGGACCAATCCCGAGAGACTCCTTGCAGTGACTGGCAGAGGAGGCACGGCTCTATTAGCACTGTTTCCAGAGCCAAGGAAGCTGAGGCCGTTACATTTTTGTTACAGACTTTTGAATTTTTTTCATTGCAGAAGTTTGGAACAGCTTTGAATTCAGTGATTTGAAGGTCTGCGTGCTCCCTTCCTAGCAGGTATATGGTTTCAACAGCGAGGGCATGACTCAAACGTGTGGAATGTGCTTCTTCCCTGGGCTGCTCTGAAGGCAGCACTGAACTGGCCAGAAACACGTACGGTGACATGTGGAACTGTTTCCTAGATGTAATCTGTAACTGTTAATTACAGCTCGTCCTGTCTTTCCTCACTGAAGTCAATTCCTGTCCTTTCTCCTGTTCAGGAGGTAAGAGGATAGTAAAGGATCTCTTAAGGGAAAAGGACTGAGTAAGTGATGAAGGCAGAGAAGGAGGAAGAGGAATAAATGCTGAATATTCCAAATGTTTTTACAGTTAGAGCAGTGAGGCAAACCACGGGAGTAGGTCCTGTTTGAAACCTGAAACTGATTTCGGGGTTGGACTAATCCCAGAGTTTGTGTAAATTTTCCTGGTTCAGCTCTAACTTCCAGTCATGTGGCATCATTCTCCTTGCCTCCAGCACTGCAGTACCAGGCTCCCCCCACCTGGGGACACCTGGGGACGGTGACAGCCCTCCTGCCCCAGGGCTGAGCCCTGCCGTGGCGGTGCCTGGAACTGCGGCTGCACCGCACGGGGCAGAGCCGGCCAGCCCAGCAGAACTCCTCCCTTTCCTGCACGGAGCTGCTCGGAATGGCTAAGGGAGTGTTCTTCCAACACTGCTTACAGGTTCTTCCTTTGGCCCGCTAATTGGACGGCCCAAGCAGCTCTGGCTTTGCTGTCACCTCTGAACCCCTGTGAGGTTCCTGTCTGGCTGTGCCGGGCAGAGGGGCACAAACAGCTCCCAGCGGCGTTTGCTTTTTAAATTAATGTTTATTTCTGTATTGAAAGGGGTTGAAAGCATATTTAAAAACAGCAGTGCAGCTCCCATTCGTGTTCCAAACAGGCACAGCTGGAGGTGCTGCACCTCAGACGTGCCAGTGTCACCCCTGGCCGGGTGTGCAGCCACAGCTTCTGTCCCCTGGCCACAACCCCCCTGCTGCCCCTTGTATGAAAATCTCTGTCTCTGTGCTGGAATGCAGCACTGAGGGAGAGACAAGCTGCATCTCATTTTTAACAATCCATTCTGTTCCTGCTTAAGGCAATTTACAGGTAACACCCACTTGTAATATGGCCACAAGTCTCGCGCTGCAGAAGCACAGCGTGGTTATAGGAAAAGGCATCTGAAATACATAATAACCTGAGAGTACATGAAGTTCTTCTCTGTTGCTTCACTATAATGTACAGCAGAGTCCATGTGACACAATTTGGAAAGCCAGCTGCAGCCTTGTGATGTAATCCATGAGAGAGGCACAGATCCCACTGGGTGCCTCACGTAGGTTCCAGTCTCCTTTTCTTCAAGCTCTGACTTCTCCTGAGGGGGCTGCACCCTGCCACAGGGAGAAAGTGAAAAATGGACATTTTTTTCTGCCTGTAAGTATGTTCCTCAATTCTAACTGTTCCTCGATAGGACAGTAGGATGGAAAAAGCAGTTTTCCAAGAGCACTGTCCCAGCTTCTGCAGCCAGGTCCAAAAGAAAGGAATGTTTCCCAATCTCCCACGAGCCCCGTGAAGCCAGAGCTCAGTCACTCGTGGCAGCACCTACCTGGGGTGTGCTGGTGGGCACAGCTGGTGCTGGGGGCTGCAGCAGGGGGCTGCAGCTGAGCCAGCCTGGCAGCAGCTCTGAGCTGGGAGCCCCTGTGGGGTGTCCTGCAGCGCGCGCTCATCGGCCGATGGCCACGGGGCGTCTCGGGCGCCTGCTGTGCAGCTGGGCAGGGCTCTGATGTCTTGGCACCTGTTACCTTCAGGTCAGTGCTCTCCAAGGAAATGTCCCAAAGTTCAGGATCATCTGGAAGGAATGAGAAGGGGATCCATGACACAGGAGTGTACTGCAGGAATGGCAGTAGCTCCAAGTTCTTTTCCTACAAGCAGTGACCACTATAAAATTTAAACTGTAAAGCATCTCTCATGTCAGTGCTCTCCAATTCTTCTTACACTGTACTCTGAATTAACCTGGTTTAAATGCCAATGATTTAACACTTTATTACTCATCACTCTTTGGCTAACCTGCAAAGAACTCCTCTTCTATGGCCAGCTCCTGTTGCACTTCTGCTGGAGTGCTGTGCTTCGCAGGAGCATCGGATTTTGCTGCAAGGAGGCAACACAGGAAGAGATTAATTAAAAATACAGACACACCCTTTGACTCCTTAGCAGAGCACAAATCTGCAATGACAGCCAGCACTACCACCAGGTACCTCTTTTGTCCTAGAGCAGGCTAAGGCTTGGAAGCTGAACGTGGTAACATTCTGTACCTGATGACATCTAATGAGCAGCTGTGCTACTTCAGTGTGGTTTTTAGCCTGTCCATCACCATGTTCCTGCTCCTTTAATGTGGTTCTTAGCCTGTCCAGCACCATGTTCCTGCTCCTTTAGTGTGGTTCTTAGCCTGTCCAGCACCATGTTCCTGCTACCACAAGGCCCCAGGCTTCCCTGTGAGCCAAGGGCAGTGTATCAGTAGCTCGGGCAATGTGTGTTTGCTGGCAGCTTCCTCAGCCAGGTGCTGCAGCCTCAGCTTGGATGCAGCAGGTTAATGGTGCTGGCAGAAACTGCTTTAGGGTGGCTGGAAAGTTGCAGATGTAATGATGCAGGTTTAGAGCTGACATTCCTGACACTTTTGGAACACAGAGGGGGAATATATGATAATGCTCCCGCCTTTGGCCTGTGAGGTGTGTTGATGGCACAGCACAACAGCACATGAAGCTGGCCAGGCTCCTGTACTGCGGGTAGCCTGTGCCTGCCAGCAGCTCTCATGGAAAGAGCCAGGTTGGAATGCCACTCCTCACCCTGTTTGCTGCTGGGAGTGACTCCTGGGACCTGCTGCTTCTTCTGCATCTGCTCCCGGAACTGCTGCTGCAGCCGCTTCTGGCGCAGCTTCCTCTGGTAGGTGGCATCACACTCCATGGCCAGGGAGTCTGTGCTTCTGTTCTCCCACCCACAAACACAAGGTTAAACAGGCCTCAGCAATTACATTTTGTGAAGAAAAAAGTCGTTAAGAAATAACAGTAAAGAAAATCCACTGAACTGGTGCTTTATGGCACTTTGGAATTGAGCTGTCTAAATGTTTTAAAAGGCCCAGTAACTTCGACAGCTTAAAAAAATACATTTATTTGTAACAGCAGTCTCACCTGGGAGCATTGGGCTGTTTCTGGCCTGCTGTCACAGCAGCCTCTGTCTGGCCAGGCTTACAGCCAGGTGTCACCTCACAGTGCTGTCTCCCTGCTGCACTCTGCCTTTCCATGTAGCTGCTGTATCTTGCTTGCTCTATTTCAGGCTCATAGTCCTGCATTTTAGCTTTGACCAAGTCTAACTCAGGGGGTACCTGGTCAAGGAGAAAAAAGAAAAGGTTCAGAAATTTCTATCATCAACTTAATGAAATAAGCACTGGTTAAAAATCTATTTTGTTTGCTTGAAGCTGAACAGTAAGTTAGAAACCTGAAATGCTCTTTCAGTACCCAGTTCAGTCAGTTAATCATTGAATTCCTGTGACTTTGTGTTGGTTTAATTGTTCAGTGCTGCAGGGCAGATGCTAAGGTCTCCCCACACTGCTCTGCAAACGAGAACAGGATTTCACAGCTTCTCACAGCCTCACAAGGCTATTGCTGAGTGAGTTTGTTTTACCAGTCCTTTTTCCTGCTTGTGCTAAAGGGCAAGGCCAACCCTTACTGAGTTCTGAGGAAGGTACACCATTCCTGTTTATTAAGGATGGGATGTTTTGGCTCTGTCACCTTACAAGTTTGTGGCAGTGCCTCTAATAGACAATGTCCCTGGCAAACCAGAGACCTGGGCCATCTTTACTGTGTGAGGTGCCACTTTGGATCTGCTCCTACAGTATTTGACAGGCTCTAGGCCTCTAGCAGAGCTTGGCAAGTCCTGCTGTGATTGAAGACAGCTTTGCTATCAGCAGCTGCAGAAAGCTTCATTTTCCCTCCTTGCACAAGGCAGGTCACTGCCCAGAAGCCTCCTGCCCCCAGCTGGTGCACAGCAGGATCCATGGTGGTTCCCGAGGTGCCACTTCAGGCACACCCTGCCTCGTGTGTGGGAGCTGTTTGCTGGGAAGGCTGCTGGCCTCAGGAAGCCTCAGGAAGGGGATGCACTGCTGGCAGCACTGGCAGCTCTGTGGCTGCAGCAGCAGGGGCAGTGGGGCTCTGGCAGCCCTGTGCTGCACCTGCCGGGGAAGCTTGCTCACGGCGCGCAGGTAGTCCTTGTCCAGGATGCAGTTCCCAAGAGCATTGCCAAAGCACCTGAGAAACAAGAGGGCTCACTGAGACTGAAAACCTTCATCCCACAGAACTTCTGAAAATGGGCAGGTGCTGATCTTCACTTACTTGAGAGCTCTCTTCAGTCCATCTGTTACTGCCTCCTTTCTTGCCTTTTCTAAGGATAAGGCTTTAGACTTCAGGCCTTCACTGACGCCATAGCCCACATCCTCATGGTATGACCCATCCTGCAGTGCAATTTCAAATACAAGAGGGTTTTATACACGCAGGTGCTGTGCTTTCCCAGGCCTGGGTACTTCTCTTGGCTGTTTGTTCCACAGCAAGGTCAACGTTTGGGACACCAGCAGGTTCCCCAGTGCAGGGCAGTACCCGAGGACTGTGCTCTGACCCATGCAAGGACTTCCATTCACAGCTTCAGGCAATTGCTCAGCTACAGTCAGCCAACAAAAAAAACATTTACCTTAAGCTGAACTTTCACAAAAGCACAGACACCCACGTAGAACCTGCCATTGTTGAGGTCAACAAAGTCTGGAAGGAGATATTTTAAGTGTTAATGTATAAAATCAATAGTGGAAAAGCAACTGCTGTCTATGAAAATAATTTCTTTCTTATGATCTAGTAGAAGTTTGCAGTTTGCAAATAACTTGCACGAGATTTTATAATGGACAAAAAGCCTGAATTTCTAAGGAATGACTAATTATGGCATTATCTGAGAAAGGTAGAAGTTTGGAGGATGTCAGTCCTTTCTTGACTGAAAAAGGGGAAAGAAAACCATGGTGCAGAATAGATGGAAAGCAATGAAGTAAGTTGTTCTATTTCTAGAATTTACCAGCCTGAGTTAAGAAAAGATTTCTGAAGGTGGGGGAGAAGGAAGAAGGTAATTTAAGCTGCTGCTTTGACCTACTTCAACAACCAGTCTTCAGCATAAGCACAGCAGATCTGCAAACAAGGACAACACTCCTCTGGCAGGCACATTTTCAGCTATCAGCATGGAAGAGGCTGAAGCTTTAAGATCACCTGAACATGTTATAATTGAAAAGTTTTCTGTTGTAAAAACCTCAGTACTAGGTGTTAGCTAGAAGAGAAATCTGCAGAAAAAGAAGGGTCCCTAAAGATTAGGGGAATATTAACTGAGAATATCAACTGGTTGGAGTCTAAAAGTTACAGGTGAGTATGCAAGTTGGCTTAGGACTGCTGAGTGTTAAATAGTTTAATTGTAATTACTCTTGACTGAGTGTACCCACAGAGATCAGAGACTTGATTAGAATAGCTCAAGAATAATCATAAACACACTCAGAATAATGACTGTGACAGCTCTAAAATGAAAACAGAAGCTCCATTATTATTCAATTTCTCACATTTTTACTAACTGTTAAGACACCTGGAAGTTGCTCATGCCTCTGCCCAGCTTTGCCCCCACGAGACCCTTACCAACATTCTGCTGAGTGACTGAGTGAGCCCAGCCATTGAAGCCAAACATTTCATTGGCCAGACTGATGACCTTGTGACCCTCAATGTAACAGACCTGAAAAGAAGAGCATGTACAAATAAATATATTTATAAATACATAGCCTTGTGCACACATCTCTGCACACTTTATTTTTACCAGGGATTACACATACCATCTTACACTGAGGAAACCCAGCTAAATTCAAGGTTCAGATAATGTGAATAAGAGGCTGATGGTGCAGCTTCAGGTGCACTATTCCAGCAAATGTGGTGGGGATTAATATAACAATAAATATGACTTAATCAACAGAAGGCAGAACGGCCACTAAAGATGGTAAATGGAGTCACTGTTATATAATGTTTCATATAACCCAAGCCTGGGAAAAAATAGGGAAAACACCTCAGTGTTGCACAAGTAGACAAATATTCCATTGTAAGGGAAGAAGCACTGAAAAATTGAGTCTATTTTTAAGTGTAAAAGGAAAATCTGTGGCTCAATAAAAGCCAGAACTTATGCGCTGCTCACTTTGCATTCATATCTGCATGTTAAACTACTAGAGGGAAATTAACTTTAAAAAACAAAAAAAAGGAATACTGTAACAACTTAAACCGTAGTTTTCCTGGGAGAAATTGAGTGGAAACATGATGTTTGTCCCTACCTTTTGGCCTCCTCCTGCCTGCCGGCTGCTGATGTAGTCTGGGCCCAGCCTCTGCCGCAGCGCGTGCTGAATGGCTCGGTGCTCGCTGGCTGTGTATTGGTACTGGGCAGAAAGAGCACAACACACACCTCACCCACCCTGCCTGCCTCAGCTTCCCCCCCTCTGATGGCACTGCTGTATCCCAGGCCTCCCAACGTGTGCATCAGCCACTTTCTGAAACTGGGTGTAACACCTCAGGGTGCTTACGTACATTAGGCTGTTCTTTTTTCAACTTACTCTTGATAGAGACAGGCATTAATTACTGAGCTGCAGCAATTATTTTTCATTTATAATCCTAACCACAAACACACACATAAATTTCTATATTACTGCTCAAAACCAAAACATAGTATCTCTGTGACCAACAAGAAAATTGTATGTAAGGACTCCAACAGAACTGAAGATGAACCATACTCCACTGCCACGTGTCACCAGGGCAGGGAGGACAGCAGCCCAGGAAAGCAGTCAGAATAGGAATTTCTAGAGTTATCCAATTTCTTTGGATAACTCCAACCCCACTGGTGTCATTGGAGAACACCAGCATCACGGAAGCCTCAAGTGTTGTAAGTTTAGGTTTGTCTTAGTAGAAATCCAATTTACAAAATGAAGCCTGAATGTATGTTTAAGGGTGTGAGAACTAAAAAGCTCATGTTGTTATGGCCTGAAGTGGGACAGAACAGAGGTTTCACCACTTAAATCATAAATATTGTGTATGCTTGTACTGGCTGCTCAAACAATTCAGCAGAATCAGAATCTTTTAGTGTGTGTGTGAGTGCCATATAAATTCCAACTCCTGCCAAACTGCCCTAATTTGTATTTAGTTGTATTTAAACTTAACAGTAAAAATTTTATCTTTTTCTGACTCTAGCCTGTAACCAAAAAAACCATAAGGAAAAAGGGAAAATACTCAAGCTTGTGCCACATTCAGGAAGTATGTAGAAATGCCTATCATGGAGAAGAGAATTCACCACCAAAAGCTCTGCTCAGTCCAGATACAGTTTTCTTTTTTCAGTTTATTTTACAATGTTTCAAAATAATTTTTTAATAGTTGAAAGCAGTTGGCTTCTCTGAACCTGTACTAAGAATATGTGTCAGCATGACTCAGGCCATCTGGGAATAAGAGAGAATAAAATGAGACTCACTTTTAAGGTACAAGATGTAAAAACCTTTTGAGAAGAATCCAGACCAATTTATTACAACTCAAGGCATGCCAAGACTATTGCAGAGAAAAAAATGTGAAGTACAGTAGGGTGCAGCATGATTCCAGCCTTACTGTACCCAAGTTTAGAAGGAATAAACATGCAGAGCAGATTTCCACTAGTGTGGGCATGCAACTTGCATTTCTTCTGGGGCCAAGGGAACTGACCTGTCCAAAGGAAGCCACTGGGTCCCCAGTGTTGGAGCTGCTGCTGCTGCTGCTGTAGCTCTCACTGTCCTTCCCCTGGCTCTCAGGCATCCCTAGGGATGAGAGAAAATATAATGAATGAAGAGGACAGAACTGACAGTCCACAGGAAGACATGGCAAAAAGCTTATTCTAAATATCACACTGGTAGAAAATTCTGAATATGTTTTTTTTTTTCCTTTTAGGTAAATGTGAAGGTGCTGTACCATGCCAGGGAAGGAAAAAGAATTCCCTCTTTCAGATTCTTCAGCACTGTCTTCCTGGACCACATTTAATATCCATTTCTAAAACTTTACTCAGCTCTACCCTGCCTTGTCAGTTTTATTTTGGATTGCAGTTTGACTGTAATCACTCTGCCTGCTGCTACATGGTGCCACATAAACCAGCCAGGCAGAGCTGAGAGCCACAGAGCCTGTCAGAACTGCAAGAAGTGGTACCAATAACTCAGTAGATGGCACCCTTTTCTAAGCCAGTATCCAACACCTCCCAGCACTGCACGGCCACTCCCCCCTGCTCTGGAGCAGTTGGCTGGGGAGATTGTGGATCCAGCTGTGCCAGGGGCTGTAGCAGGACACCCAAATAACCCACAGAGATAATCTTTTATTGTATTTGCACTGAAGCTGAACACAACTGATAGCCCAGCACTCAGACTTTTGCAGGCAATACAAATACAAGACAAAATCAGACATACAAGAGAGCTGGAGATGTCAAAACAGTTTGAGAAAGCCTAAAATCCTCATGTGTTGTAAGTCAGTCAGCACCTGGCTAGCACTCTGCTTTGTTAATGCATTCCAGGTGTGGCACTTTTTAAAATAAGTTGTTTTTCCAGTCTCTAAACAAGAAATCCAAAGTTCATTGAGGACTTGGCAAACAGTCTTCTGAAAAGGGATACTGGTTGTTTCCTTGGCAAATGTGAGCACTGGCAATTATGCCAAGTGTAGCTAAAATTCTCCTTAATTTTGGTTGGCTAGAATTATTCCTCTCTGGTCCCAAACTTGTGTAATTGTACAGTGTTCATACACATGAATGCATTTTCCATCAGAAGTTAGCAGCAATTTGTAAACACACTTGGCTTTGGAAAAGAGCAAATGGAAAGCAACATTATCAGGAGAAACACTTGTGATTTAAGCAGGCTATTTCCTCTGCTCAGCAAAGAGTTCACTGCATGGGGAGGGAGACAATTAGAGAGACATAAATAGTGTGTGTGGCCAAGGGAACTGAAATTTGAACAATACTGTTGCCTCCACTCACACCCCCAAGCTGCCTCAATCAGATCTTAATCACTCTGAGTCCTTGGGAAGAAACAATGACTGAAATGTCACTTGCCTACAAACACTGTGACCAATTTATGCAAAGTAGGTGGGTGGCATTTTGATGCAAAATTGCTTCATACTGGTTCTAGTTAAAGTCCTTCAAGCTTTTATATGGTGTGCACCACTACCAGTCTAAATTTAGTTGCCAGTGGTTTGTGTTCAAATTATGTGTGAATCCAGTCTGAGTGGAGGAGACACAAGATGCCAGTTCAGTTTCAGGCTGTACCTGCAGGAGCAGCTCCAGCTGTGAGCCTTGTTTGAACCAAACCCTCCATCAGAGCAATGTGGGGGTTTTGCAGCTGGGGAAGTGCAGCACAGCAAAGCCCTGTGTCTCAAATTGTCTGAGCATTTCTGAGTGACAGAACTCGGGTACAATGTGGGGGGACAGAATGTAGGAGAATGGAGGTGGTGCAGAAGGCAATCTCACCCCTGAGGAGCTGCAGCTGTACTAATTACCAAAGATTAGGAACAGGGCTGTCCTTAACAGGCCACAGCTGTGTCCAATAAGGATGAGTGCTAGAAAAGAGTGGGTTAGCTGGAGTTTGTTGGCTGTGTGGTGAGGAGGAAGGAGTCAGTGCTGCGAGGAGCTGCCCATGAGCCATCACTGAGAAGGTATGGAAGTTTTGCAATAAGATAACAACAATATAAAATATTAATTAGAGTAGGAGCTGGGAAGAGAGAGAAGTTAATTGTCTATGTGGAGCTATAAACTTGGTGCTGGAGCCAGGGAAGGCAAGGTGCTGCCATTCCTCATTGGAATATTGTTTCCTCCCTACCCTGCCCTCTCCCCACAACATTTTAACCCACATGAAACATTAATGCTGAAGTAGAGAATAAGCTATTCACTGGAGTGCTCAAGAGCCTCAGACACCCTCTGAGGCCAGGGCTGTGGTAGGAGGCTGCCTGACTCATTAACCAGTGTTCAAATATGCCCTATTTTTAAACCAGAAAGACTAAAAATTAAAGTTCAAATACATGTTTGAATATGCAGGATGATACAAGCACTTTATCAGGTTAAAGGTACCCAGGAATTATAATTTACTATCTCTGTGGCAATGGAATAATTATTTATTATTTACAGGGAAATCTTTTGAGTTTAACTGGTAGTGTTCTCAGGAAATTTTATTGTTACTGAGAAGGAGTCCACATAAGACTAGAGGTGCAGCACTGTGCTTCAAAATATTGCCTTGACACACTAGAACAGGTAAAGAAACATAACAGCTTTTACTACTACCTGTTTTGATCTTGTCTTTCAAAATTTGAACACATTAGGTACATAATCAGAAAAAACAATCCAGAAAAACCAATCTCTGTTTTGGGAAATTGGCTATGAAATGGTAATTTTAAACAGCACTCTACAAGTAGGTATATTTGCATGGCGGTGAAATTGAGCACTGCTGAGACAAATGTGTGTGTAACACAAATTCCTGTGCAGGAAATAAACCAGTCTTCCAGAACTGCTAATCCTGAACTTAATCTGTTCAAGTGTGTCTACCACTGTGGGGCTACAGCAGCAACACCTTCACCTGCCACTATCCATTACCCCCACAAATTTATTTATTAATTCATGTCTTTTCCTATCAGTTCCACTCTGCCTTGACAAACCAGGTTTTTGAACCATGCTCCAATCCTGAGGTAGGAGTGCCAGTTCCCAGTTTTCCTCACCTGTGAGGTGGAAGCAGGCAGTTTTGCATCACTTCAGAATAGTTTGCATACCATGCATTGTGCAAGCACCACAGCTTGGGCAATGCTCAGCTAGAACAGGGCTGTTCCAAGGAATTAATCCCAGCATCCTTGCCCTCTCTGCCTGCTAAGCTTCCTTCACAGAGAGGCTGAGTAAAATCTTCCACATTCTTTCAATAAATGCAATTCCACTGAGCCCAGCAAGAGCAAACAGTTACAGAGGCAGCAAGTGGGATTTAGCAAGCACTAAAGATAATGCCACATACTTAACTTATTACTCTAAGAAAACATCCAAAAAACTTTGCAGTTTTATATTTCTGTGGAGTTTTCTTTCCTCTGAGAAGCATAAACTATTTTATAAGCTGATTTACCTGTTATCCAAGGTGCTTTGACACAGAGCTGAGGTACCTCTTTCAAGTGTAGTGGGGCAGATGTTCTTAATCCAGGCAGGCCTGTGCCACTCCACAGTTTAAAGGAGTGGAAAAGAGATGATGCAATTGCTCCTGGATAAGCTGCACACAACAGAACTCCCCAGTTTTCATTTCTGATATCTCTAGGTAAACAACCTTGATGACTTGAGAAAAGCAAGGTAATGTCCTGTGAACTTCAACAGGAGGAAAATGTACTCACTGCTAGTTAAACATGGAAATTCAGGGGCAGCTCAGGAGACTGAGTGTCTGCTGCACACCCAGCTGGCCTCAGGTGCTGACAGAGCCTTCTGCATGCCCCTCACTCATTCAGGCCACATTCTGTAACAAGAGGAAAAAAAATAAGGTGTCAGATGGCATGTTTGAGCTCCCTGCAGTGGTTTAAAGAAGCTTGTTTTCAAGGCACACAAGCAGCACTGTGACAATTCCTGCTCAGTTCCAGCACCTCTGTGCAGTCCCACTTACCCACTGGAATCTGTGTGGCTCCAAAAGCACAACTGAACTCTTTTATTATTATTTATTATTACTCTTGGTGTGTCTAGGATCCTGATCCTCCCTGCCCTGAACAGAAAACACTATTTCTGGTCCCACTTCTTTAACATCTTAATGAACACAGGGGAAAACTCTTTTCTTCCTTTTATACAATTTTGGAAGAGTAACGGTGCATTTGTGGGGGTGTGTTGCTATTTAAGAATATTTGGATACACCTAACGTGTGAAACAAAGTTCACCTGGTCAATTCCTGCGTTTTTTGGGACACAGGATGAGACATTCCCCTCCTTACTCACTGTGCTGTTTGCTGTCAAGGCAGCCTTTACAGAGCTGCCACAAGTTCACTGAGCACCTGCTGGAAGCTGTTTAGGGGCCTGCTTTCCCAATAATTACAAATCCAGCCCAGACTGCTTAGTTTAGCTGTGTTTGCTGTGTTTTAGCCTGCATGTTTGTCAAATTTTGCTGGTCAAGCCTCCAAACATCTTCTTTAATAGCAGTGGTGTGTGTCAGCTACCCCTTTGCTGTGTAATTTTGGCCCATTGCAATTTTTGCATTCCAAAGGGTCAAAAAAAGTTTCATTAGTTAAAAATGCACCAACAGCATCCTAGGAGTCAGGTCATTCCCAACAGTTCTAAATTTGAAATACATTTGCTTTCCAAGAATATAAATCCTCATTCATTTCTCACATTGCTTAATTCCTTTGCATTTACTCACTACCTGCATAAAAAATATTTAATTAAAGGGACTGACTGGTACTCCTGCACAAATAATCTGTTTGGTATTATTAAAAAAAATTCCTTACAACCATAAACAGTGACCAAGGGGTAAAACTAAAAGAGAAGAGCAACAACTCTGTGATTCTGGTTTTTCTCCAGGTATGAAACAGTAACAAAACCAGTCACAAAACCAAAATTGAACCATCTGCTCTTCCAGGAGTCTCACATCCATGCAGGCAGAGTAAAAAGACCTTGCTCTGGAGATCAGACCAGGCAGGAATATTACTCAAATATCAATTATTTACGTGGGTGCTTCTTTCTGAAAGCCTGTGAGTGGACTTATCACCACACCATTGATGTAAAATGCCAAGCTGTGCAGCACAAGCCCACTGTGATCAAAGGCACAGGGGACACCCCTGCCAGCCAGACCCTGTTAAGGGGGCACACTGATTGAGCTGGGGTGAAAAACCTAAAGCTCCTAGGCTCTGTCTTCCTCCAGAAAACAGAGGAAATTCAACTTGCTTATTGCTAAATGGAAAATTGAAATTGACAGGGTACTCGAGGCGTGGGCAAGCCTGTATTGATTTCCATCCTTCTGCCTTTTTAGCCAGCAAGACAAGTATAAATTAATAAATTATCTCTTTTTTTGGGGGGATACCTTGGGCTTGACAGAAGGCCTTAGATACAGTAGCATGCACCATATGAGCCTCAGAAATTAATTTAAAACAGAGAGTAGAAAGGGAAGCTCGGGTTATCGAGACCTCAGTGGATATCGGCCCGCCACAGGTCTGAATTATAATATAAAAACACAAACCACAGCAAACCCAGCTTGGGAGGAGTCCTGCTGGGGTCACTTTGCTGTCCGCCCGAGGCTCCCTCAGGGAACACCGGCCCCTCGCCCGCCGCGGGGGAGGGCGCTCCGGGGAGGCCCGGGTTCGATTCCCGGTGCCGGGCTTAGTGCCCTGTGCCCGGTTCGGTGCGCGGTGCCGGGTTTGGTTCCCGGTGCCCGGCTGAGTTCCCGGTTCAGTGCCCTGTTCCCGGTGAGTCCTGCTGGGGTCACTTTGCTGTCCGCCCGAGGCTCCCTCAGGGAACACCGGCCCCTCGCCCGCCGCGGGGGAGGGCGCTCCGGGGAGGCCCGGGTTCGATTCCCGGTGCCGGGCTTAGTGCCCTGTGCCCGGTTCGATTCCCGGTGCCGGGTTTGGTGCCCTGTGCCCGGTTCGGTTCCGGGTTCAGTGCCCTGTTCCCGGGTGGGTTCCCGGGCCCTGCCCTGCCGTACCTGAGCCCCGCCGCGGCCTCTTCGCACTTCCCGCCCGGAGCGGCCGCTACGGCGCCGGAGAGCGGCCAAACTTCGCCGGGGCCGCGCGGGCGGTGACGGCGGCCCCGGTCCGGCCCCGGGCAGCGCGGCCGCAGCGGCCCGCGTCCTGTGCCGGGCGGGGTTCGGCCGTGCCTCGCACAGGCGGGCGCTGCCGCTCTGCCCGCTCGCCTCGCCGGTGCTTTTCCGCCCCTGGTCGCCCAGGCTGTCCTTGGGAAGCTTTTGTTATCCCGGGATCCTCAGCCGAGGCGGTGGTGAGCGGTGTCTCTCCGCCCAGACCTTGTGGTTTTGGTGTTTTCCCTGCCTGGGCAGTTTCGTGTGTTTCATTGCATCCCCTCCGAGCCGGTGTCAGCTGGCGCGGTGTGCTTTGTTTCGGGGCGTGCTGCCATCCTGGAGCCTGTGTCGGGAGCTGCTGCCCTTCCACATCTGTCTGCTTTGGAGTGTGAGGCTGGTTGGGAAGCACGCGATTTACTGAGCCTGGAATGCTGCGTGCGCTCTGGGAGTTTCACGCTGTGGTTTGTGCTGGTGGGGTGTGAAATGGTCCAAAGGGAAGCCCCGGTGGAAATGGGAGATGCCAAGATGTAAAGAAACACCTATGGAGGTGCTGGTGGTGGTGGGAAGCAGCACACAAGCCGAGAGAATGAACGAAAATGGATAAAAATAGAATTGTTCTGAAGAGCAACGCGTGTTTTACGTTTTGTCCCAGCACGTTTTGGGGGCCACGCTCAATTACGGCTGCAGCTGCATAGCCTGCTACCTCAGATCCAACAGGCTGTACCCACAGCCAGCTCTCTGCCGTGGCTGTGGGCTTGTAACTCTCAAACAATGGCCGAGGATGTCTGCAGCAGGCACCGCCACCAGCTGCCTGCCCTGCTTTGCTCCCTGAGATTATCGCGTCTGCAGCCGTAGGTGGCTGCACACACATCTCCTCCTGAGCTCCAGCCTGGCACCGTGCTGGAGCTGGTGCTGGAAGCTGCAGCAGCTCGGGTGTGTGCCCCAGTTCAGGGGCAGTTATGAGTCAGCACCCTCAGAGCTGTTCCAGATGGAACAGGACAAGAGAAATCACCACCTTGCCCGTGCTGCTGCGACTAGGGCTGGTAGTGAAATAGAATTGTTATTTTTTCAGTGAGTGAAAGCAGTGATTATACAGTTAACAGCTGCACTGAATGTAGTTCAGGTCTGGAAGCACAGTTCAGAACTTTGTCACAGAACAGCAGTTCCCAGAGCAGTCAAGTCTGTGCCTACTGTGTCATCCAGAAATTTGGAATTGTCTGAATCCGTCAGGCTGTAAGACGGGCTAGAGCTAGAAAAAAGTTGGGATCTGCTGAATGAAATGTGAGTTTATCATAATCTTTGATATGATTTGTACTTCTTCTACCGCTTCTGGGAAACCAATTTAAGTGTAATTAAATCACTGTTGGGATGTTAGCAGAAGCCTGAACTGAAGAGAACCTGCTCTCTGGACAATATTAAAGCATCACGTTTTTCATAATTTTTAGCTTTCTTTTTGATCCTGTTAGGAGCTTTTTTGAGATTCCATTCACATAACTTTTCATGTGTAATATGTGGCTAATGGCCTGATTAGCAAAAAAGGCAAGTTTGGTACTTATGTGGCCTATTCCCTTTTACTGAATTGCAAATCTTGGTGAGGAGAGAAACCCTGGCTGGTTTTTTGAGGCGTCTTTGATATTTAGTGGGTTCTTTTTTCTTTCTTTGAATATGCCACTTTCTCAGTTCCTGGTAGCAGTTGTATGAATAGAAATATTTCACTATGCTATTGTAACCAGTGCTTGAGTTCCTTGCCCTTATTTGTGAAGCAGGATACTCTCCCATTGTTATCTCTCATCCCCTCACCCCTCCCTCTTTTCAAGCCCATTCCCCTGAAAGCCTCTCTGGGGTGAGAGTTTTGTTACAGCTCCTACCTGGCTAAGCCACTGGAGAATGGTGCTGTGTTTGGAGGGTCTGGCTTGTTTCAGCTGAGTTGGTTTGGTCAGAAATCTAAGTGTGGAGGGCTGCATGTGGCTTTTTAAATAATAGACTTTAATCCACAGTGTGGTTCTTGACCCTTGCTGGCCACCCTGCTGCAAAGTGAGGGGAGGAGGGCTCTATCCACTGCAGCAGCAGAGCAGGAGATGCTGGAAAATCCAGTGCTGATGGAGCAGTAGTGGTGTTTTGTAGCACGTGGGCTCTGTCAATATCCTTGTTGTCAGGGTGAGATTATGATGGAATTTCTGTGGCTGGAGCGTGCTTGGCCTTGCACTGTGGTGTTGCCCGTGGTGACTTTGGGCTGGCTGGCTGCATGGGTTCACTAGTGCTTCTAGGCACTTCTGAAATATCTTTAGTGCTTTGAACATTTTGTTTCTGCTGTTAGGAAGTGGGCTGTTGGTTGCATGCCACCTGTGGGAAAGAGGGAAACAGCCATGGATAAAAACAAGGAATATTTACTGACTTTATACTCTAAAATGAGCCTGTAAACTCTTTAGCCATACAGTGACAGAAAATTAACATCCACAGGTCTTCATTCTTCTACATAATTTGAAGAGTTAATTTAATCAGTTTATTCCTAGGAAGTGATGTAAGTGATATGTTGGAGTTCTGATACCTGTTGCTTTCTGTGTTTTGCCTTTAAAAAGGGCACGTGATGGTTTTGTTTTCTTCACATCTGCTTTAAATTTAGGGACTTTTAATTACATCCCAGTCATTGCACAAAAGAAATCCTGGTGCTCCTAGCCAGACTCCCTACACATGAGTAAATAAAGGTTTAGCTGAAATATATGTATTTATTAGAATAATAATAAGCCTTTTTTATGGTCTTGTTTGTTTGGGAAAGGAGATAGAAAGAAAGGGGACTGTGATGGTGACAGCAGACCCTTTATGCTGCCACCCAGACCTGTGGGTATTATAAGAAACAAAATTTGATGTCAGTTAAAAGTGCTGTAGAGTAGAACAGAGCATGGGCTGTGTTAGGTGTTCCTTGCTGAGTAAGTAGATCCCCTGAAAGGAATTGTGTGCATGTGGGAAAGAAATTAACCAGGAAACTGATGAATGAACTTTTCTGGCTCTCATTTGCAGACTTGCAGGTGGTTTTTGCTGATGGGATACCTTGTAGGAATGGGAAGCAGAAAGGTGTCTAAAAAGGACAGGGAATCAAGGTGTTTCCATGTGCTGTGGTGCCATTCCTGCTAACCTTTCAGATGTAAAAAGTGTTTAACAGGAATGTCACTTCTGCTTAGAAATAAAACGCTCACTTGACAAATGAATGCTGTTTTTTCCCCTAAAACTGTTAGGGTCAGGGTTGATTACCTGCCTTTTACAGAACATATTTTTTTAATACATGTCAAAGTCACCTGAAGAATTTCAGGGATTTTCTGAGATTCTTTTCTGGGGTGATTTCTCTGTCTGTATGTGTGTGGGAGAATGTATCAATTCACATCTTGTGTTGGTGAGACAGAACAAAGGCTCTGTTACAGTCAGTGAACCTGGCAGATGTGGAAGTAGGTGAATTTAATACAAAAAATATAAAACAAGCATCACCACCATCCCCCCAGGTTTTAAAAAGGATTGGATATAAACAGATGGCAGTGCTTCAGCATTTATGTACTCTTTAGGAATGAGAGACAATTCCAGTATGAACAGTTACTTTTTTTGTCTTATTTCTGTCTTGATTTCATTCTTCATTATTGCTTTCTTGCTGCCAAGGCCACAGGGATATTTTGGTGAACAACCCTGAATTCCATGGGTTCAATGCCTTGTGTCCTGCATTGGCTGGCTTGCAGTTTCCAAAGTAAACTTGCTTCTGTCCTTTTAGTGTGTAATAGTAATTAATTTAACATAAAATAGTGAGCCTTCTTACCTTCCAAACTAGGCAAACCTAAAATCTACAAAATAGTCTTAAAAGACACTTTGTATACACTTCATATAAAAGTAATGTAGCAGCCATAGGTTTTGTAGCTGTGGGGTGGGCTAGGAAGTAACAGGAATTCATTTTTTCTCATGGTTAGCACACCTCTAAGTTGTTGTGAATCATGTCAATTCTCTCATTGTACCCACTGTTTGGATTCCTGGCAGAGTTTTACTGGAATGTAAGCTTTTCTTTGTTTGGAATGCCATCTTTCCTACCTGCCCTCCCCTCTGTTCTGTCTACTCTGCAGTCTCTGTCCTACTGTGTAATCCAGACATACCTACTTGCCATTAACTATTCGGGTGTGAATTATGTAAACGGGAACAATTACTACCTCTGTTAATGAAGTCTAATGTGTCTGCTGCAGTCCTTTATCAGATTAAAATGCCTCTTGTAAAGGCTGACTTTGCTTTTATTGTGAAACTGACATTCAAAGCTTTCCTTGTGCACACAGGAATCAGTGTGGCGAGGGACTTGTGTCTTCTGGATCTGGGTGTGTGGCTTCCAGAGGGGTCCCTGGGCTGTGAGGTGCACTTGTCTGCTCTGTGATCCCACTCTCCTACTCCTGACTATCAGGCAATGAGGAATTGTCTCCATAGATGTTGCATTTGTCACCTGGTGTCAGTCCTGAACACAATTTGCAGCAAAGAAATTCACAGGACTTGCTGAAGGCTGCAGGAATTACTCCGAAGTTCTTTTTGTTTTAAAAAACATAGGCTGGGTTTTCCCTGTGTTTCTGCAGCATGTTTGTATTTGGTTGCTTGCTTACCTGGATGTAGCTAATGTGCTATTAGTGTTTGTCTTGCAGTGGTGGGAGACATGAAAGGCATTGTTAATTTATGTGACAGAGAGATCTTCCAGAGGGCAGCAGAACTTTTTTTTTTTTTTAATGAATCTTCTGTGTTCTGTCAGCTGCAGATGGGAACACCAGCCCTCTGACCCTTGGTTCACATGAAATAATAGGTATAGGGGCTGAATGTGACAGCACTGCTAAACACATCTCATTGTATTGGATTCTTAATACTGAAGTTTGATATTCAAGTGATCCCTCTGGGATTTTTTACATTTCTGCTGTGTCCCAGTATACCTTTTCTTGAAACCACCAGACCTTTTGACAAGACTCCTGTTCCTGCTCTCTCTCATGCCACAACTGCCTTACAAGTAAATCTCCATGAAGCTGTGCAGGTGGCTTTTTACTGTTCTTTTAGCATGCCAGGTCCTGATCCTGGCATGTTTTGAGGGAAGCTGGGTGCTCCATTGCTTTTCACTGCCTAGGACTAGGTTGTTGTAATGAAACAGGTGGGTTTTGGTTGCTACAGGTTGCACTGCAGTACATTGAAATGTCTGCTGCCAGATTGTAAACATTTGCCATGTTAATGGTGTCTGTCTCTCAGTGTTTTTGGACAGTCAGCTGTGAGCTGAGAAGACATTTATCTTAGCTGCCACATCAAGCAGGATGTGGTGTTTGCTGTTTTAAATTTTTCATACAGAAAATGTGTTCATAACGGTCCTTTTCTAAACCTTTTTTCTGCAACATTGTGTAGTTCTTGCCTGTTCTTTTTCTGATAGTCCTTACAAGTTTTTCCATAATCGCTAGATAGCATTTTCAACTTATGTGAAAGCAGGTCAGGACTTTGTGCATGCAAAGTTGCTGTGCAAATTTAAATATATATAAATATACATATAAAGTTTTTACTTGGGCTGATGTGATGCTTTTAAAATTTTTTAAAATAGGTTTTCATATAAGATGCGCTTTGAAGTTTTTGTTCTATTAATGAACAGTGAACAAGAGAATTTTGTTTCATAATTGTAAAGTTCTGCAAGCTATCTTGGGGAAAAATGGTTTAGTACTTGCTTCAGTGCTAAACCAAAACAAAAACTGTTTTGTTTTTTTAAGCTCTTTATGTTGAGAGTATCTTTTTTGTTTGTTTTTTGTACTCTTGGGTAAGGGCTTTTATATTGGCAGAAAAAACAAAGGTTTTTGAAATCTACGGGAGAATTTGCCAAGGGAAGAGGGTTAATGCATTTAATACATTCACAGTTGGACATTGTTCCTTGTGGTTATCACCATCTTGTACGGTTAAGGGATGATTTATTTGTGACTAAATTTAGTCTCAGTAGAGGAGGAAAATAGCAACAGTGCTGCATGTTGGTCCCATGGAAGATAAGAGACCATACTTGTGAGAGTCCCATAAAATGCTAGTGTGAGTCAGAATACTGAAAAACTAACATTTCTGGTTGTGATGTTATCTGCAAGAATTCTTCCATGTACTTTTGCTCTGGGATGGAAACTGGAATTCTTTCTTCTTCCTGATTAATTGGTATTGCAAAAAAGAATTTATTTTTTTTTTACTTCCCTCACTTTGCCGTTTTCATGGTGAAATATTTTTTTTCCTAGTGTGAACTGTAATATCTGTGAACTGTAATATCTGCTTCTACAACAAAGTGATAAATGGCACTAGGGAAAAAATAGGGGGAAAATAAAAGAGTTAAGATTTATCTTGTAATTTCTTTTTGATCTTCAACTGTGGCAAATCTGTGTCAGTGGAAATACTGAAACTGGCTTCATGTATGGAAAAATGTATTTAGTTAATATTGGAATATTCACAATTTTAAGGTCGAGCAATGGTGTAGTGAAAGTTGTCATTTCAAGAAAAATATTGGAGGGTTATGTTTGCTTGTTTCCAAAGACAACTTTTCATCTCAGTCTGCTGCTTTTGAGTGAAAAGTGAGTGCAGAGCAATGCATGGCAGCAATAGCAGAGTTCTTCTCCCTGAGTTTCAGCTGTGCCAGCTCTGGGAACCCTTCCCATTACCCTGATCAACAGCTAATTCTAGCCCTTGGCTTTCATGGCATGAGTTATTTGATGTTTTCTGGAGTAGCAGAGGGGATGGTGCCTGCCTGTGGATCAAAGCTGAGAGCTGAGTGAGCCCAGGACTGGAGTTTCCAGCTGAGGTGCTGAGAGCTCCCCTGCTTTCCGGGATAGCTGGAGATGGTTCCTGCACAGCACCCGCAAAGGTTCCAGCTCCTCTCTGCTGCCTGGGAGCTGCTTTTCTCTCAAGGGTATTCAGAGTTTAACAAAATGTTGGCTAATGCAAGGAGAAGGCAGTTCTCCATGGCATTTTTTCATGGCATTTTCCACATTGAGGGTGAGGAGCTCTTTAGAAATTACCTTTTGAGCTCCTCTGGGGTGTTGCTGAGGATTTTACCAGGTGATGCTTCTGTGTGCAACAGTGATGTACTTCCAGCAGATTTTAAACTTGGTGGTTTTGGGGTGAAGTTCTTTAACTGAAACACACATAAGTCTGATCTTTTGGTTTGATTCAAACTCATCTAAAGATGTTAATGAGTGTTTGCCCTGATTTACTGCGGTGAGTTTCCAGCAAGTGAATTAAGTGCTGTGATTTGGATTAATTTTCAGGAGAATCCTAATGAATGCAAGCTCTGGGTGGAATGTACTTTATGCGGTGTCTAAGAAATCAAATCTGACTTGTTTTGAGTGCTCAAGTGGTGTCACAGCAGCATTTTTAGCATTTTGATATCTCAAACAGTGAGGCTAGTCTGAAATAGCCTTTCTGTTTGGAAGAAGTGTTTTTCTTCTAGATCTGGGGCACAGTGTCTTGCTTATTGAAGCAACTTCAGTGTAACACTGTGCACTTTGTTGCATAGTTTATATTTCTGAACTGTTTTGCATAAGGATATGTAGTTGAAATAGAAGAAATGTAACTTGTATTAAAAAAATACATCTGCAATTGTTGTTTTGGCAGATAAATTCAGATAATGCTGGTGGCTGTTTTTCCTTGGCTAGTTCTTCTTTATGTGCTCTAAAATACTCTGTAGCAATATTGTTGCCAGTTTTTCTTATCATTTAAAAAAAACCCAGAGTGAGCACTTGAACATCTTGGGAACTGCTCACAAAGCAGTATCAATTTCCATAAGCTTTGTAAATTTCCTTATGCCATTGTATCTTCTATGAAATTGTGTGAAGTTGACAAAATGCTGGCTTACCCTGACCTTGTTTTCCATTTAAACTTCAAGATTAAGCTAAACATTTTGAAACTATTTCTTGTTGTATCTTTTCCTATACTAACTTATTCAGAAAGGTAAAAAATACTCTATCGTTCCTTCCTGGATTTTACTTTTTTTCTTTCTTCCCTTTTCCAGTGTTTTTGCAATATTATTTTTTGGTTGCCAACTTCCACCCACTTGCACTGTTTCTGCAATTTCTTTTGGAAGTGTATCCCTGTTTTAAACCTAATCTTTACCCTGTTTGCCCAATTATTATCTCACAAACATGCTTTGGAGAAATTAATTCCTAATATCTGGCAAACCTGACTTCTGAGCAGAAGGGCAGGTAGATGAAAGTGGTGTGAAAAGCAAGATGTTGGGATATATTAGATGCTGCTGCTCCTTGGACACTGCCTGGTATTCCTTCATCTGATGGGCTCAGGAACGTTTCAGTGTTCTAATTTTGATTTCAGTTGAGCCCAGCAGTAACATGAAATAGTTTACACTGGAAAAATCAGTGGAGAAAAAAAAGTGAGAACTGTGTAGTGGGATAATTTTTACAATGCAGTAGTTTAGCTACATTTTTTTGCTTCTCTGCTAGATCTTGGCTATTGACTTGACCCCAGCCCAGAGTCCCTGTGCTGAAGAGTTTCCTGCCAGTACTTGTGCTACAGCATCTTATTGCACTGCAAAAATAAGGAATTCTCTTGCATGTGCCACCAGAGTCCGTATTTAAAATAAAAGCAGAGGGGAGAAGGAACAGCAACAGGATGATGTCAAACTGTTCTGGGTTGTAAGAAGTCCCTGCTGTTGAAATATTGTTTAGTTGAATTAATCTTAGCTGGTTAATGAGAAGTATTTTTCAATCAAAATATTTTCTTAACCTGAGCAAAGATATAAGTTACATTTAGTTTGGGAGAAAATAAGAGTCTAGAGCCAGTTTTCAGTGGAGCTGTGATTCTTTTGTTCCTCTTAACCTCGTTGGTCTCACTGCTGGGTCATTGCTCCTCTTTCAGATTTGCATCTGTGCTTGCTGAAGTGGTGTGGTCAGTAATGATTTCATGATTGTTGTTAGTTTTGGTTCTGACTTCTGCATTTGAAGTGGGGCTGACAGCAGTGCTAAGGAGACTTCTGGTTGAGATCATGGTCAGAGTAATTTCTGTCTGTCCTGCCTTCCCATTTCCAGGATGATTTCACAACACAGGGGTTTAGAAACGATGTCCTGTGGAAGCTGGCAGTGCTTGAAGGAAAGATACTACTGAGTGGTTTTAGAATTTTGATTCTCTTTCTCAGAAAGGTAACAGGTAAAGCATTAGGGCCAGTTAGAAACAGGAAGAAAGATTAGATGGCATCTCAAGGGTTTTGTCATCACCAACAAAATTACACCTTGAAGATTGATGTAGTCTCTTTTCCTCTTTACTGTGATAATATAACAATAGAAAAAGCGAGAGTAGAAGTTTCTTTTTGAGTTTAAATATAAGGGTTTAAATAAAACATTGTTTTTTTTAATTAGGAGGAATTAAAAAATACCGGAGAACTATAAATATAGGAGAATATATTCTAATGTGGGACAAAGATTTAGTGATAAACTAGGTATTTGATGTGTTATTTTTATTGATGCAGATTTTAATATGTTATTCTTATTGATACAGATATGGTCCATGAGCACATGACTTCAGAGATGGACAACCAGATCTGCCACAACTTGTGATTGGCCTTAAGTTGACTTGCAACCATCGAAGAGCTTAACAGGAATTGTCTCGTTCCTGATTTTTTGCCTGTCTGATTGCCTCACCCCACCAGCTTCAGCATGTATGGGAGCGCTCGTTCCGTGGGCAAGGTGGAGCCCAGCACGCAGAGCCCGGGGCGCTCGCCGCGCCTGCCGCGCTCGCCGCGCCTGGGCCACCGCCGCACCAACAGCACGGGGGGCAGCTCGGGGAGCAGCACCGGCGGCGGCAGCGGGAAAACCCTTTCCATGGAGAACATCCAGTCCTTAAATGCTGCCTATGCCACGTCCGGCCCGATGTACCTAAGCGACCACGAGAACGTGGGTGCAGACACGCCGAAGAGCACCATGACCTTGGGCCGCTCGGGAGGGCGGCTGCCTTACGGTGTTCGCATGACTGCCATGGGCAGCAGCCCTAACATTGCCACTAGTGGAGTTGCCAGTGATACCATTGCGTTTGGAGAGCACCATCTGCCCCCGGTGAGCATGGCCTCCACTGTGCCTCACTCGCTGCGCCAGGCCAGGGATAACACCATCATGGACCTGCAGACGCAGCTCAAGGAGGTGCTGAGGGAGAACGACCTGCTCCGCAAGGATGTGGAGGTGAAGGAAAGCAAGCTCAGTTCTTCCATGAACAGCATCAAGACCTTCTGGAGTCCTGAGCTCAAAAAGGAGAGAGCTCTGAGGAAGGATGAAGCTTCAAAAATCACCATTTGGAAGGAGCAATATAGAGTTTTGCAAGAAGAAAACCAGGTTTGTCATCTAATGTCACTGCTGTGTTGGTGTGGTAGCATGATTAAGTGACTTTAATAAATTTACATGTTACACTTATGCAGCTAAATTAGGTTGATGCTTTTCTTGGCTAATTGATGTGGGTAAGATGTGTTTTCAGCTTGCAAGCCTGTTTTTAGATGTTTCTTGTCAGACTTGTAACCTACCTTGAATGCTCATTTTTCCTTGGGTGTTGTGTGTATTTTTTCCCCTAGGATTGATGGTAACCACTTGGTTTCCTTTTGGAAGTATTTATTCTGTTCACAATTAATATTTTTGTGCTGTTTACCTCTTGAAGTGTTCTCTTAGATGCAGAATGTACTAACTGCTGACCCCCAGTATAACTGCACTGGTGCTGAATGTTGACAGATTGCCATTAAAAACAAAGTTAAAGGTACACTCGCTGGTATTTAAAATGTCCAGACCTGCAGTTTTCACAAACAGATATAAATTCTGTTCTTGGCTACATTTAAATAACACTGTTTAATACATGCTTGCTATTCTTCTTTTTCATAAACTTGTTATGCAATTATCCTAAAGCATCCCACAGTTTTGGTTTGTTTTTTTTTTTGTAGTGGTCTGGCCAGTTACAGAATAGGCAGAAGAACACAGATTCTCAGGTGTCTAGGTCTTTGGTCTTGTGTATCTTAAAAGCATCTCCAAATTAAAATAAAACTCTGAGGCTGATTAAAATTGAGGTGTCTTTGTAGTCAGTTCTACTGATTAAAAGCTTTCTTAAAGTTCTCCCACCTAGAGCTCCTTTGTCCTGAAGTAAATATTTCTCTTTGAATGAGTGTCCTCCTGCTTAGTTGTTTCTGGCCAAATGTGGGTTCAGCACCTCTCTAGACTGTCAGGTAAAAAACCTCACTATTCCTATGGAACACAGACCCAGTGACCAACTCCAGAAGTTCCCTGAAATGTAAGTCAGCTTTCATCATGACAAAATTACTTTCCCTGTTGAGCTTTTTAAGTATCCAAGCACATTTAATGAAAGCTTCCATTATTCAAATGTGACCATGTTCTTGCAGCTTTTAAGGTATAGTTGCTATTTTAGGCAATGCTTTTTGTGAGATTGCTTTAGAAGGTGAAGGAGAGAGGGAAATGCTGGAGGAAAAGGGTACTGCTTGTTGTATTCTGCTTTCAGGTAGCCTGTTTTAAATAGTAAATTACTTTTGGTTAGGGATTAGTCTACTACACTGAACCTGTCTGCAATTTTCTTTTCACTTTTCACTTTTTAAAGAGCTTGAGTTGAAGAAAGTAAGTTGCTTTCTCTGAGACAGTATGAAATAATTTAATGAACTTGTCATTTAGCTTTATAGCTGTCTTCTTACCAAATGGTAAGTATCACAACTTGTGGGACTTGTTAAGGTGTGTGACACTTTGTCTTCATTTACTTCTGTCATCTTGGAATGCAGAAAACCTGAAGTAAAATAATTTTTATTGCAATGGTAGGCTTTCTTTAGAAGCAGTAATGTAATGAAAATTTTAGTTATAGTAGTGCAGTACCAGGATAACACATATCTGGAATACCAATCACTCAACTTTTCTGGTGTTCTTTGTATTTCAGTTGCAGGTAAGTCTTTTAATTCTTAAATTCTTGTCATTTTTGGCCCTGTTTTCATATTGAAGAGACTGTCTTGGAATACAATAACATTTTTTCTCAAGTTAGTTTTGACATTTGAGGATGCTTTGGAAATCTTGCAAGAAAAATGAATACATGGTTTAGAACAGATTAAACAATTACTAAATACGAATACAGTAGAGAATAGTGATTTCTCTATCTTAGATTTCTTTTTCTTTGTCTTTCCTTTATCCCCTAATTAAACATTTACAGATATTTCTAGGCTGCTGTTCTCTAGGCAATCACTGTAATTACTACCCCACTGGTAGAATTGTATAACTTTGGTCCAAAAGTAAGAAGGGTGCAATTTAAAAGTAAAGGGGTATTATTGTATTGAGCTGTAAAAACTAAGAATGCTAATTAATAGATTATAGTTAGCTAACAGTGTGTTCTAATTAAATTCTGAATTTACTGTGTCTTCTGTACCCTTTTGGAGTTGGTCACTACAGCCTTTCACGTGGAAGATCAGTTTAATAGGATTTTCTCTAATTAAACAGACTTCTCTGTTTAGACTCTGAACAAGGAATTTCCCAGATGTGTTGGGGGACCAGAAAATATCTTCATTACCTCTTCAGACTCCTTCTAAAATGAGTTCCATTATAATTGCAGGAACTGGAGTTTTAGACTTAATTATGAGTATTTCAGCACACCACTTTTAAAAAAGCCTTCTTGCACGTGTAGTACTTGTGCTTTATATAAGGTTTATCTCAGACCAATTGTATTGTCTAAAATCGACTCAGCTCATGGAGCCAAGATGCTGGCTGACTCATACCATTATCTGATAGTCATCTCAATCTCTTTCCTGTGGTCATAGCTCTTCATTCTTCTACCCACACTTGATTGTCCCTGATTGTATTGCTGTTCTTGTCACCTCAGCTTGAGTGATTGAATTGTCCCTTGGGTTTGGGAGTTGTTAAAAGTACCTGCAAATGTGAGCTAGCAGTGGTTGATTGCTACCTCAGCCTTCTATGAGTAAATGCATCGATGTCTTTGAGTTTTCTTTCCTGTCTCTTGGGAACGTGTACAAATAAATGTATTTCTTATTGATTTCCAGGACGTTTTCCGGGTTCAGTAAAGCTCAGAGAATGGGTGGGGGGATTAAAGAGCATGCTGCCTGTCCTGAGGCAGTCACAGCCTTTTGGTTGTCCTCTGAGGGCACAGGAGGGATATAATCCTGGGTATAATCCTCAGGGTGCCATGCACATGCTCTCTGTTGCTCTCACCTCTAACTCCTGCAGTCCTGCCCAGCTGTGGTCTTTTTCCCAGTTGGATTCATCAGATGCTCTGAGCAAATTCTGCAGCTGGGGCGTGGAGCTTTATTTTCGTCCTTTGTTACTGATCCTGAAGAGACAGAAAATCTTTACATAAATGGAGAATGTCATTGAAAGCTCTCTTTGAAGAGCTCAAAACTAAACATGGAAAGTATTGCTGTAGTTAACATAGATTCTTGGAAAAACATGACAGTTTTCAGTGCAGTGTGGATGGCTCAACCAGTCATTCTTCACAAGAAACCCAGAGGAAAGTGCAAATGATTGCTCAGTTATGCAAACCCATGCATATTCAAGGAGAAATTGATGAAACCAGTAAACAGGAGCTTAGTTTTGGCATGGCATTGCTCTCCTCTAAATGCTTTAGTGGGAGCTGTATTTTTCTGAGTTGAAAAATAATTTTTTTTTAGTATGTGTGGTTTAAAGCTTCCCTGGAACCCTCTTCATCAGAAGCCAGAGGAGGAAAGGAAAGACAGTGAGTATGTTTTGCACCACGACAGAAATTATTTGCCTAGAAACTGGGCAGTGGTGGGGTGATGTGAAACTCAAGGACAAAGGAGTTCCTCTCAGTTGAAACTTGCATATGACAAGGTGATTGTGCCTTAAAATAAGTAGTGCAATGCAAATTTGGTGTCTGACACCCTGCACTGAAATTTCCACATTTGACTGATCTACTTTTAAGATCAGGTTTATGTTTTAGCTAAAATAGTGTGGTACTGCTGAAAACATCTTTTTGCTTTGATGCATTTCTGTGGTCTTTTTGTGGTTAGAGACCTTGGATGTCTGAGTCAGATATTTTAACCAAGAAAATATTTCTGAAAGGAGTTTCACCTGGCTTGCGGTAAGCACTTGAAGAACATTGTGCTTTATTGTGATGGATGTATTCCAGCATTTCACCAGCAGAGTCAGAAGTATTTTCCATTTCTTAGTAGTGTGTAATGAACATCTCACTTTCAAAAGTGTAGTTGTCCATGTGTTAACCTCTTAAATGCATTGGGTGGTGCTGTTAGGAGACTGTGTGAGCTTCTAATGAGTCTGAAAATCATATTGATTCTCACTTCTTCATTGGTTTTTTTTTTCAGTTATGTATTTAAAAAAAAATTGGTATGTCTTACTGCTGTGTCATTCTGTAACTAGTCTCATTCCTGAGCTGGTTATTCATTGATAGAAAACGAAGCTTTCTTCCATTCTGGGTGTTAAATTGTGCAATATATGGTTTCATAGGCATTGCTTAAAGGCATTCTCTGTATCCCAGAGCACTGCATTTAAATTATTCCTTCAGTGGCAGATGCCTGTTGGTTCTCTAGATTTCTGCCAGCTTTAAGGTTCCTTCTGTCATTCCCCAGCTGCAGCATGAAATTATAATTCAGTTCTCTTTCAGAATAACTCAAAACTACCTCCTCTAGAGTGCTTGGTATCTGAAGCATTTATTGAGTTGCAGCAGTTTATAATGACCTCAGAAATTGTCATGTGATCACCCAAGAGAACAGCCTGTGTTCTGCCTTTTTTTTCAATTCTGTAAGGAAATAAAACTAGACATTTTGTGGTTATCTGTATTCCCCAAGGCTCCTTTTGTCCCGTGTTTCCTCTTGAGGTAGGATCTAAAACCTTGGGTTGCTTTGAGCTGTAGCATAGGCTGAACAGCTCCTCTCTACTTGATCCATTAAACATACAAGGGGAATACTACCAACTTAAAAGCAGCTTGAAATAAAACAGGTGACATCAGTGGTGATGTTGAACTTAGTAGTTTAACTGTGCTTTTTTTGCTGTTAAGCTGGAGCAGGGATTACTTCAAATTCTGCAGAACTCAGAGCAGACTCTTTCTGCTATAATTCTTTCTCTAATGTTTATTGAGTCTGTTCAGATATTGGACTCCTAACTAGGGTGGCAGTGTGTGATTCCACCATTTAGTGTTTATATTCCTGAAAAGTCTTGTCTGTAATGCTGTGTTTCTCTAGAAGCCTTTGCTCCTTTCAGCACTTTTGTATTTATGGTATTTGAGTTAGTAATTTTTTTCCTTAAGTGTTCTTGCTTTCTAAAGTATGGACTAGGTAGCTGAAAACTGTGTAAGGCTTCCTCTTTGTTAGTCACCC